GAGACCTGGCTTGATGGAAACACGCTTTGCTGAACATGGCCATTTAGTTCGTTGATTATTTATATTTACCACTAACTAATGGGAATGTTATTACCTAATGTTTACCACTAACTTCGTGAACATTGCTATTTACCTAGATATTCATGGGAATTTTGTCCATTGATGACGGAGTAAAGAGTGTTGCTATCAAACTTAGATGATCGACTTTTTATGATCGAGTGGTTGATACATGGGGTGCTGTTTTGAAGGTAGATTGGCCATCTGGTTGGTGTTTTGGAACATTTTTGATTTTTCCATATATTGGGAATATTCATCCCAACTGACTAATATTTTTCAGAGGGGTTGAAACCACCAACCAGCCATAATATTTGGATGCCTTGATTAGCTGATCAAACCCGACCCTGTATTGTTTGCTGGTCTGCTCGCACAGCAGGATCTTTTCATTCGTGGTTCCCTGGCCAGAAATTCCCAACAGTGCGAGCCTTGTGGCCCCACAAGCAGCACAGTAGCATCATTTAGAAGTAGAAGTGTGGCTTATTTTCACAAACAAAGTACGGAAAATCATCATTTTTTTTTGGAAATTCAACTATAAATGACCATTTCTATAGTGACTTTATAAGTCCATGTGATTCCAGTGTTTTATATATAGTTTTTTTTTGGTATATAGTAGCATTATATATCACTTTATACCACTATACCACTATAAGATTTATTGATTCCATCAATTTGGGTTCCAGTTGTGCCGACTCCCAGGAGAATCGAGGCGGGCGATGAACTCGTGGCTGTCAATGGCCTCAAGAGCTGGGAGGAGCCCGGTCGCGCCCTTGGCGCCCTTGCGACGGTCCCGACAATGTCCTCAGTTTGAATATTCCATTGAGAATCCCAGGAATGTTAAGAATCCCATGAAGTATCCAGATGTGTCCCCATGAAAAAATATCCCCATTTGTAGATGATGGTCCCATATGGCACCCATGGTTTTTTGGGTTGGGAAAATGATTAGCGATGTTTGTTTTCTATAAATGGGAACATTATCTAAAAATGGGGGGATTTGGACACTTGCAACGTGAAAAACGTGAATCAATCCTGCAGGAGATGTCAAGTTTTAAGGATTTGCGCCAGGCCCGTTTGACCTTAGTACCTTGCTGAGGACAAACATGGGCCAACATGGGCCTGGTGGGATTGGGGATGATGCAGACACACTGGAGATTCTGAGATTGCCACAAGAAGATACACGTATATACATATATGATTATATATATATATACACACATACACATACATATATACATATATACATATAATTATATATATACATATTTATGTATATACATATAATTATATATATATACATTTGCATGTATTATATATTAATGCATCTATCTATCTATCTATCTGTCTGTCTGTCTGTCTGTCTGTCTATCTATCTCTATATCTATATCTATATCTATATCCAATATCAATATCCATGTATGTATATCTTATAAATGCATAAGATGTCTTATTCTGTGAGAATGCATATACGACGCAATTGTATTGATGTCACATGCATACATACACATCTCTCTCTCTCTATGTACACACATATATATATACACTAATGTATATATATATATATGTATATATATATATAGACATACATACGCACTACATATGCTGTATATGCATGTATGTATACAGATACATATGCATATGTAAGCAGCAATTGAACAAACATTATCAAGGACCGAGGGGATACTGCCAACACTTCATTTCAGATCATTGGAGGGTCCTCATTGGGCCTGAGGTGCGAAGTCCCAAAGAAGATTCAGGTAGGGCTGTGGCAACACACAGTGTTGGGACATGTTATTTTCCAAGTGCATGGGGGGCAACTGAAGATGAACACATTTTTGAAAATCCTTGTTTTTGATTTTTCATAGTCGACATTTTTTGGACTTTCTCCCTTTAAATTCATCAAAAACCATCAAAATTGCCGTGGGTTTTGACGAATTTTTCTTCGGTGAACCGAGACGAATGGCCAGGTGAACCGAGTGCTCCATCAACGTCCAAAGACGACGCGAAGGAGCCCACGAAAGAACTGCGACCGCCGGCCTTTCAGATGGGAGTCCGGAGGACTCAGCGTTGACTCCGTTGGAAAATACCACGATTTGATGTTGATTTAATGGGATATGCATGGGGGAATGGTGTGGACAACATGTGACAAAACGGCACATATATATATATATATGTATATATATATGGGCAACTACAATCAAAAGCTGGATTACCTTCCAGCTCAAACACGGCTGGGAAATCCTCAATTTTTGTGGGAATTTCAGTGTAAAAATCATTGACCAAACCAGGGTTTCCAGCAGGGTAAAAGGGTGAACCGATAACCTGATGTCGCAAACCATGGGCCTTTAAAGACATCCCCAAAAATATCTATATTGGAGGGGTATTCAAACGGGGTTTGCCACATTATGCCATGTTACGGCAGTAGGATGAGCCTTATTGGTTGTTAGTGTATCATCTACCCCATCAGAAATACACCATGCCATCCCAACAGTGGTGTATCCAATCACAAACTTTCATTGGTGTCATTGGCTTTAGCTCATCATCGGGGGTTGCATTGCCTGCTTTATGGCGGACGGATATCTATTTCATAGGGATACCTATGAACACATCGATACCTATCAACCAAGTAGTGTTTCCTGGGATGCTGGGTATGACGGATCAGTTGTTCCGATGGATCTATTAACAGAGCAACACCAAAAAGTTGGCTGCTGTTTTGTTCGCAGCCGGAGATATTGTATGTACCAAAAAATGAACAAAACAATCTTCCATACTTTCGATTTTGATCATTCTTATTTTTGAATTGACCCAATCGGGTGGTAATTACCCAAGTTTTGACGCATCCGTTCGAAAGACTACTTGAAATCACATATGTGTCGATGATTGACGATGCATCAATGTTTTTTTTTCCCTGAAAAGACTTCCTGCTTTTGTTGATGCAAAAGGAGCGACCCTGCCGCCATCTGAGGGCTATTTGTTGGATGCCTCCGGCAGCGGCTGGTCGATGCCCCGGCTACAGGTGAGTCTGGTTAAGTCGGAGTGCCCTTTAGCAATCAAACATCTCCAGGATTCTCTTGTCACATCGGTGGAGGATGCACCCAATTTGAAGCAACAAACCTTGGATTGAAACCAAAACTGGCTTCCAATCCGCTCTGATTGCATCCTGCTTTCTGCCGCACCGTGCCGTGCCGCAGCCGCGCGAAACGCCGGGGGTCGCCCATGAAACCATGACCAGGCGTTTCTTTCCAGGGTCGTGTTGGCCGCATGTCGAGCCTCTGGCACAGAAGGCGACAAGATAAAAGCCTGGCGGCCATACAGAGGCACCTCCCAGGGGCCATCAATGGGTTTTTCGGAACACGACCAATTGATGTCCTGAATTTCCACGAATTGATGTCGTGATGATGAAACGACCAAAAACGGTAAATTTAAAGGACCTGCCATTAAAAGCGGTCCTTTGAATTCTTACGAAAAAGGACATGACTGCAACATTGTTCGCCCATTTTTGGGACATTTTGCTGCTCACCTTGCCATGTTATTGTTGGGAGCCTTGGCATTGACTCGACCAGGAGCGAAGATTCCAGTTCTGACGCGACCAGCTTAAGTGCTGCGTTGATTTCCAAGTCGTGACTCACGGCGTTTGTTGGGAACTCCTGGAGGCAGCAGTTGTTGTTTGAAACAATATTCTCTGGTTGGTGGTTTCAAACATTTTTATTTTCCATTTCATATATGGGATAATCCTTCCCATTGACGAACTCATATTTTTCAAGATGGTTATTGCACCACCAACCAGATATTCTTGTTCTTCCCCCCTTCCAAAATGCTTTGCATCCCATCTTCTGTTGCTTTCTGTGGCTTTCCCAGAATTTGCTCATATGAATCCACTTTTCTGTGGCAAATCTTCGTTTTTGCTGATCAGTTTCCCAGTTTCTTGCTGGTCAGATCCCGGAGTTTTGCTGGCTTTTCGTCATTTAAGGATGATTTGGATCTCATTTCGCCAAATACAGTCTGATTAACTGATTAACTCCATAAGTTTCTTGTGATTTGATTCTTTTTTTTTTTGCCAACATTTTACTCCTGTTTGGGTTGCGCCCAATTGGTCGTTCCCAGGTACCAGCTCCATGAGCAGATCGGTGAGGGATCCTCGGGACGTGTCTACCGGGGACTTCGAACCTCTGATCAGATGGAGGTCAGAAATCGCAGAAATGGAGGACATGGAGATGATGGAGATGGATTTGCTGAGAAATTTCAGCAGAAATATGGGGATAGGATTGATAGAACATAAGTTAACCATGAAAAACTTGGGATTCAAGCTTAATAACTGGGGATTTATTCATCAACCATTTGGGTTTTGAGTGATTTAGGGTTGTCTGAAAATGGTTGATACTCCTAAAACTGCGATGAAATCATGGGAAAAAGTAGGCTTGAAACCAGGCTGGCTCTGCTTCAAATCTACCAATTTCCAACGCCCATCTTGGCGTCCCACAAGACTTCGCCAAATGAGATTTGGGGATGGGTCAAAACCCTGGTACCTAGTGAACCCCAAGTCATAGCTGGGATTTCTGGATGTGAATAACCCACTAAAAATGTATCTATAGGTATTGCATGGACCAGCATTGGAGTTTTCATGGTAAGAAATGGTGAGTAAATCAGCGACGAACATTTTCAAAAAACTCGAGCAGCATCACGGGGATGGCCCGGGTTTGGACTCGCAAGACATGTTCATGGAATATCATGGAATATTGATTAAAAACATATGGCTATGGATCAATACTTATTAATACCATTTTTAGTGCGATGAACATCCATAAATCCCAGCTATGACTTGGGGTTCACTAGGTACCAGGGTTTTGACCCATCCCCATATTAAAATGATTAACACATATTAAAACCATCCGCTGTCATCATGGCCATGGCTTGCTTTTGTCCATCGTTTAGTTCAATGACTTTCCCAGCTTTTTGTTTCTCCGATGTGTTGGGACATTTCTCTCAGCGCTAGTCATCTTCGATGACCTAAAAAAAACATAAACGGTTTTAAACAATGATCTTGATCCTTTTAGCAGGCGGTTAGGATCACGATCCCAAAGATGTGCGCAGCAAAAGATGGGAGATCCCAGGGAGAAACATGGCGATTTCACCAAAAAACATAGCGATTCAATGAACCAAAACAAGGCGAGTCGTTGCTATCAAACCAGCTAAAGATGGGGAATCGAAGCACAACAAGGGAGTCAACTAAAGATATTGGCACGTGGCTTAACATGGGTCAAGCAATGGATCAAGCAATGGGTCCAGCAGTGGGACTAGAAACAACTAAAAAAAAACAAGGGGTTGACCTACAATCACTGGCAATCGTTCCTACAATGATAGTCCACTACTAATTGTACATATCCATTCAGGTCCCAATATAAATAGGGCTATAGCAGCCCTTTCACTAGTAAGCAGGTTTTCGTGCATGTGGTTCCGGGTGGTTCCCACCTTTACTGTCAGGGATACCACTTGGGCTTATTTTGATGACACCACCAGTCCTTCACGGCACTACGGCTCGGGGCAAACGCGGCACCAGCGCCTCACCAGATGGTACAGAAGCCTTCAGCCCACCATGTTTTAAAGGGTTCAAAATTAAATACCCCCAAGAGTGGATGGTTAAATGAGTCATTTTCCTTGTGTGGGTTCAAACAAAAGGGTAGCCCATCACACGAGCGCCGCTCGCGAATCTCGCAGGTGGCATTGAAGTGTTTGGAAGCCAAAGACAAAGAAGTCGTACAATGTCGGAAGCAAGAGTTCGAAGTGCTGCATCAACTGGAGCATCCAAATATTGCAGACTTGGCTGATATGGATGTCATGGGCGATGTCGTGATGTCCTGAAAAAACCATGGGGATTGGATATCCTGATGGCCATGTCAACAGCGGGACAAGTGCGGTTTCAACGCAGATTTTGAGCTTCCAAATCTGCAAATTTCTCCGTAAGTCCCATCGATGGAAACGCCAAGGTCCAGGCGCTGGACTTTCTGACTTGCTCAAAGTTGGCGGTGGTGGTTCTGAGCTACAACGATGGCTCCACCCTGGACGTGGCCGTTCGAAGGGCCGATGCTTGGGTGAACTTCTCGTTCGAGATTGGGGGGAATTTGAAAGTGAAAGTGAAACTCAACATGGACACATTAAAAAAGTGATGATCAGTCCTGGAATATTTGTTGGGACTCCAAACTATATGATCGAATCTTGAATCACTCAGTATACATATTGAACATGGTACTTCTCATAGTAATCAACCAGGCGCTATATCAATCTGGGCTATGTCACATTGCGCGCAACACTGGGGGGATTTAACGGTTGGAACACACCCTGGGTCAGAAAATGCTGCGGTTTGAACCGACCTGGATCAGATTTTTCCACCTGATGACCTGAAGCCCTGTGGGTCTTTGTAAAAAATGCTGCTGTGATGGCAATGTCCCATCTTATTCCAATGTCTGACTTGGCTGTTTTCCGAAATGAAGAGTCACGCTTACATGACTCTGGGAAGTGTTGTTTGGCAAGTGAAGCTGCACCAGCAATGCAGCTTTGCAGTCAATTCCAAAGATTTTGCTCAGTTGGACGAAGCAAAAGGTCTGAAAATGGTGTATACCCCCAAAATGGTCATTACAAGGGGGAAAATGATGATGAACTACGGCCTTTGAGGGGTAGTCTTAGACAAAAATCAAATAGCTGTGGGTCCATAGAAGCAGCATGCCTCCGGAGCGGGAAACAACTACAACTCCATTGCCATGTTCCTTTCTCCGGATTGAGTGAAGTAGGGCTCGACCAGCCTTGGGTTTGGGGGGCATCATCATTTCCATAGGCACAGCCAGGCACAGCTGTGTTTTGCAGTCAAAAATCCCACCCCGAACTCTCCAGCATCAACGTTTTCGTAGTGAGGAAAATGGCTACTTTTCTGAAGCCCAAAGTCAACTTCTCTTTTTGCAGCTGATGCAGGCGGTAGAATACATGCACCTGGGCATACCTGGGCTCAGTGATAGATGGGTCCTTCCAGATGGGGAAAATGAGCTTGTTATTCACAAGTTCGAAAGGAAGTACCTTAGTTTCAGACAAGCTCAGATGAAGGCCCACCTCACATTTTTTCAACCCTAAAGAGGGCGAGATGCCCTTCCATAGGATGAAAGGCTCCAATTTTAAGCGTAGAACACATACTGAAGCTAATTCAACCTTCCGTTCCTGTTGTTTTTTTGCCGCTTTTCGAGGTCAGCGAAGGTTTTTTTTCGGACCGTGAGTTTCTGAGGCACTCCAAGCGGGTGATTCACAGGGACATAAAGGCTGAGAACCTTTTTATTTCGCCACTCGGGTGTCAGGACAGGAAGCTGATTCCTGGGGGATTTTCCAGCTCTGATGATTGGCTATGTCACATGGGTGGGTCATGGGTGGGTCATCCTGATTTTTCTGGACATCAACCGTGACTTTCGGGCAAATCCCCCGTATTTTTTGTATATTTTCCACGCGGATTTCCCATTCAAATGACCAATGAAACAGGGGATTTCCCAGCCATGTTTGATTACAACCAATTGACGCCTGAGATCCCTGGTGGCATCTTGACTTCTGGGTGTCTGAACGAGAATCAAAAGGTTCACCGGCAAAAGAAGCTTCAAACAAATCCAGATTTCATGGAGTCATCATCTTCCGATTTCCAGAGTTTTAGATAATGAGATGTCCAAATTTTCTCCAAGCGATGTTTAATGATTTGTATTAAGGAAGTGCCGTGCATCGCAGTGATAGCCCTGTTGCGTCTGGCATCACCTAGTCATCAACCATTTGCTATCTTCTGAATCATCCCAGTAATCAGCAAAAAGTGAACATCATCCCAAGCAATCGAGAAGATCCGGACTTCGCGAAGATCAAAGAAGTGGAGACATGTAACCCATGGGTACCCTCCAGTAATGAAAAACATTGGTCAGCTATACAGCACCAGTGGATTTTCGCATATTTTCCCATGGGTTTTCCCATGGGTTTTCCCATGGTATCCAGCTTCGTCGCCGAGGACGGATGCGTTGACCTTGCAGGTGGGAGACTTCAACACAGCCAAAGCATTGCTGGCGCCTTGGCGAAGCCGCCTTTTAGGGATCACCACTGAACCGCTTTTTTTTTTCGACAAAAAACAAGTGGATTTTTCACCAGTTATATAACCAGTTAAACCATAGTTAAACCAAGAACAAAAAAGGGATGTGAACCAGTTAAACCATAGTTTTCACCATATTTTTTCGCTGGAGTTTTTTGTGTTGAAGCACCTTCAACGAGGGCTCGGATGGCTCGCCAAAATGGACTCAAGGCGAAGCCGCCAGAGGGATCCTACCAATTTGGTGCCTGGAGAAGTGACAGAAATGACCACCAAACAGGATAAGAGGACTGAGAATAGGCATGGAAGCAAGAGATATGCGGATTAAAACATATTAAAACTAACAAATATCAACGGAAGATGATTACAGACACAATAAACAATGGGGAAAGATCGTTTGCGCATGGTTGATTGGGTCATTCCTCCTGGGGAAGCAACTTCTGACCAGCTCATTTTTCAGGGGAACCCTCATGAGCAAAACTCCCCAAAGCTGAAGTGTTTCCAGAAGAATTGGGTTTAGAATTTGGAAGATGATTTTTGCTTGGATTGTATTTGTATACAACAAAAGTATGTTTGTTTATGTCTATATGTATATGGGGGTTTCCTAAAACAGGGGTACACCAAATCATGCAAGTCATGAGACCAATTCAATGCTGAAACCATCTGAAACCCATGGTTTTGAAAAAAAACCCTTTTTTAGGAAACCTCAAGATGTGTACGCTACCTGCCATTGCCCGCACAGTGGTCCAGCCTTGTTGGACATAGTGTTGTTGCATGCACAAGGGCAACATGCAAGTTGCACATTTTTCTCGCGAGTATGTATACAACATGTATATAATATGTATATAATATGTATATAATATGTATATAATATGTATATAATATGTATATAATATGTATATAATATGTATATAATATGTATATAATATGTATATACTATGTATATAATATGTATATAATATGTATATAATATGTATATAATATGTATATAATATGTATATAATATGTATATAATATGTATATAATATGTATATAATATGTATAGAATATGTATATAATATGTATATAATATGTATATAATTATATAATATGTATATATATATATTATATGTGTATGCACATGTACATTTATATGTACATGTATATATATATATATATATATCTCCATACGTGTCGCTGCTGTCGCTGCCCTGAGGATGGTGGATCCCTGACGATGACTGGTACCATGGAGTATGCTGCACCAGAGGTTCTTGAAGGAGAATCACCATCTGAACAGCAGGAGATTCACCGGTGATCATGATTTGGATGCACCGGAGGTGTACCACAACTAGCGAAGTAGAAAAAAACAACTCACCGGACTAGGTGACTAGGTGTCGTGGTAACCACATAGAACCGGACTTTTTCTGGTTATAAACCGACTGAAAAAAACATCCGGGCACCTTGTAGAGTTTGGCTTCAATGTTGTGCTGCACGTCAAATGGACAGGTCCTTCCGGGAATTGAAGTCATTTCGGCATCCGATACTGGGGTTACTAAAACCACATTTCTGTTGGTTGAACAATGTTCCATTTGTGGCTACCACTTGACGTCTTAACTGATACCCAATCCACCCTTTGAGTACTGATCCTGCCCGCAGATTCACACCATTTTACAACAAAAAGGAGGATTCCCTGGCAAAATTTTCAAACTAGTCTTGAAATTCCTCATTGTTGGATACTGGTCAGTTGTTTTGAGGGTGGAAGGAGGGCTGTACACACTAAATCACCATCACACATTGTTAATTGTCAGGGCCAAACTTCGAGATCAAGTTTCTCGCATTTTCTTCTAACTTTGCAAGAAGAAACAAGCTAAATGAAAATTAGTCACTGTATCCTTTTCATCTCCCAACAGTCGGCACTAAAGATTGGTCAAGTTGATTGAACCACTAACGTGTTTGATGCGGTCAGTGTGAAACTGCAATGTTTTTTCTTGTGTCCGTTCTGCTCCTCGCCTGGTTTTTGCTTGTCATTGGTCCTGACACCTCCATTTTGGAGCAGTTGGGCTACACCTCCTTTTGCCGACCATCGCACCTCTTGCATTTCTTTGGGTTGTCTTTGGCTGCCATCCCTGTCTATCTGCGAGCGCGCCTCGCGTACTTAAAGTCCAAACCAGCCATATATAATAACAGGTTGATGTTTCAAGAATCCACTCGAGGGGTTTCAAGAAGGTGCAACCTCATTTGACGAGGTTGCCTCAATGTCTTCGTTGCCTTATGCCGATGATTGCGATCATCACAAGCAGCTTTGGGCAGTGACACAAAACACAAACCGGCAAATTTTTCCTCCGGCTTCATGCCCGCTATACCTTAACAGACTAGGATAATTTTCCCGAGTAAGACCGGGAAAGCCATTGTTATGCAAGCCCCGTTGGTAGCACGTTTCTTTCACAAAAAACCTCGCGATCGGTCTTGTTTGACGTGCTGTCCTAGTCAAAAACCAGCAATTTTCATTAAAAAAAAATATGGCATTGATGAATTGTAGGTACAGGATGGGGCCCCCCAGTTATAAGTGGGTTTATAAACCATTATAACTTCTATTAACTATAGTTATATCTACCTATCTTGGGGGCCCCATCCTGTAGTGATTTGAAGGCACCTTCCATGGTTACTTTCTTCTTCTGTTTTTAAGTGGGGAACTTTCTTTCAAGTACCCGCCTGCAAGGAGTGTGCCAGATGTGCTGGGATACCCTCTGGTTATGACTAACATAGCCATGGGAAATGGCCCATAGAAATAGATGGTTACCTATTAAAAATGGGTGGATTTTCCTAATCTATTGAACCTATCAGATCTATCAAAACCAGACAAAACCAATCAAATCGACGTAACCTATCTAATCCATCTAACTTATCTAATCTCATCAAAAAAATATTTCCTATACCGGAGCCCGCTGCATGCGTGCTACGCCCCATTGGCACCACTTTCATAGGGTTTCTTTCGGGTTTCTTTGGGGTTTCTTTGGGGTTAATTTAAGTTTAATTCACCGTTTTTCTAGTTTTTTTTTTTTGTAGAATAAAACGTAACGGAAACCATTTCTAGGGTACAGCAGATTCACCGCAGAGGGTCGTTTTTCCGACGTCCCTGGGTTCGCAAACCTAGGGACCGTCAAGTTATTAGATCCACAAATTTTAAATGGCGCTCTAAAGGTCACCAAAAATGAGGTTTCCAACAATCTTCCCGAAAGAGTTTGGGCCATAGCACAATTGCTGGCCGTACCAGAACCAATCAAATCGATCAATTGCTGGCCATTATTTAACCTATCAAGCCTATCGAACCAATCCAATTTCATCTATTTAATATCTCAGATCTACCAATGCCAAGCAAATACATCTCATCTAAGTTTTCACATAAATCTACCCTTTCAAACGAACCTAATCTCATCTGTCTAATCTATCTATTGTATCTGGCTTATCTGACCTATCTAATTTATTTGTCTACCAGTCTATCTAACTGCCTGTCTGCCTATCTGCCTATCGACCTCTCTATCTCTATCTATCTCCATCTATTTCTTTCTGTCTCTATCTCTCTTTATCCCCCCTCTCTTTCTATCTCTATCTATCTCTTTACCCCTACCGCGATATCTATCTATATATTATCTATCTCTATCTATATCGATTCAAAGCTACCTATATCTACCTATACCTATCTATATCTACCTGCCTATATCCATTTATCCATCTATCTATCAATGAATCTGTCTATCCATCTATCAATATTTCTTTTTACCAATCTATCGACCCATCTACCTATCTACCTATCTATCTGTCCATCTATCTATCTATCTGTCTGTCTGTCTGTCTGTCGGTCTGTCGGTCTGTCGGTCTGTCGGTCTGTCGGTCTGTCTGTCTGTCTGTCTGTCTGTCTGTCTGTCTGTCTGTCTCTCTATGTATGTATCTATGTATTGATCTATGTATCGATCTATGTATCGGTTTATCGATCTATCCATTAATTTCTATTGATCTGTCAATCTGTCAATCTATCTTTCTAATCTATCTATCTTTCTAATCTATCTATCTTTCTAATCTATCCATCTTTCTAATATATCTATCTTTCCAACCTATCTATCTTTCTAATCTATCTTTCTAATCTATCTATCTTTCTAATCTATCTATCTTTCTAATCTATCTATTTTTCTATCCTATCTATCTTTCTAACATATCTATCTTTCTAACATATCTATCTTTCTAATCTATCTATCTTTCTAATCTATCTATCTTTCTAATCTATCTATCTTTCTAATCTACCTATCTTTCTAATCTATCTATCTTTCTAATCTATCTATCTTTCTAATCTATCTATCTTTCTAATCTATATATCTTT